TCCTCATGAAGGTGACATTATCAATTGCGATGAAATCCCCCATAAATTAAAATAAAGAAAAAATAACACTCGACTGAACAATCTCTTAATAAAAACAATACCCTTACCTCCGGCTCTAAGGGCAAGTAAGAGACTGAGGCCTCTGCCTCGAATTTTGCGTGCAGCAGGGCAGGCTCTTATGCGTAAAATTAAATTGAACGGTTCTCGAAAACAGCAGCGGGGCAGCTGCGCGGGAGCGGGCAACGAGCAGTGCATTCCAAGCGGCGCCTGCTGCGCCGCCGCCGCCGTCGCCGCCGCCGCCGCCCCGATGCTCACAAAATTCGAGGCAGAGGCCTGACACTCCCTCTCGCGGCAGCCAGGTGGGAGAACTCATTGGATGATTTAACCCCTTAAAAAAATCCCAATCTCTATCAAAACGTACACTCTCTTACGACACCCACGGGAGGAGTAACTTTGTTTAAAATGCATTATAGGTATTCTACACGACAAAATCTCTAAATACATATACAAAATCCGAAATATCATGTTATTGAAATACAAGCAGTAATCCGTAGTTCGTGACTAACGAGCGATGTCACAGTATTTATTTATACTGGCGACATGCGACTAGAGATTAAATGAGCTAATTTTAAAACTGTATCTTTAGTATATTAAGTAGTTTTAACATGAACTTTCTGAAAGGGTTTGGCATTTAAATAATATGGTTTAATCCCCTAATACTTTCAAATCCTCTATAGTATGCGACACGCTAGTGCTTAAGGCGCAGAAGATTGCATTAATTCTTTTAAAAAAACCTCGGCTTCACTGAAAACCAGCGTGAAACAACGTTTGCGTTGTTCGAATGGCATTATCGGAGGTAAGGACGTTGACAAAATGTGGATACAGTCTCTTGAAACAACGACTGTGGCAACTGGCCACGAAGGAGCAGAAAACGTGTATGAAACAACGCTTTCTTTGCGCTTGCGTTGTGTTCCATTGTGTGAGTGATATTACCCGAAGCCCAATTAGGTCCCTCCTCAATCTCTTCAATCCCCGATTCCCTAACAATCTTCAAACTCCTAATACCCAAAAGGACGGTAACGCACTTGTAACGCCTCTGGTGTTAGACCCGAGAGTACGGCGCGTCGCGTTACGCGCCCGCCTCAAAGAGCCATCAGACCACCACGGATGGGGCCCAATAGGGCTGATGCCGACTCGGAGCCGCAGAGAACTTAACAGGTTACCGGAGCTCCAGCTCGAAGTGCAGGAGTAGGAACGGGGTGGTTTTTAGTCAGTGAGAGTGATATTCCCTGCCGCCTCACATAGGCGGAAGAAGTCATTCGATGATATTCCCCACTTAAAAAAAACACCTCTGATGTTTCGGGTGTCCATGAGCGGCGCCGATGCTTAACATCAGGTGATTCATTTACTCATTAACCGGCTTATACCATAAAAAAAGATTAAAACCTTCATTTGTAAAAGATACTTATAGTCTACCAGTGAACTAACTTAGGTTGTTGATGGTGATTGTATACACCTGGCACTGTTTTAAACCTCGCACCATTACAGCCACAGATTATTAAAAACATTCAAAAATTTTCGAACACTTATCGCACCCGACAATTTTGTTCAATAATATTATTCCCTAATCAACCCCAAACCACGACACCTCACAAACAATTAAACTTAATTAATATAAAAACTCGCGCCTAAAATTAAAAGGGTCATTAAACACGTGCGCGTGCGCCGGGCCGTTAATATGTCGTGACACGCGCCTCCCTCGGGATCAATCGCACTTAAAATACAATTAAATGAAGCGACATTTTAAAGCTCTTAAGAAACCTGTCAAGTATAGTTATTCGATGGCGTGAAATTGCCTAAATATAGACATTTGAACTATTTTTTTGAGTAAGTAAGTCATTCAATTTCTTCCTTCAAGTTGTTCGCGGTTCTGGAGTTTTCAGTGGGCCTTCATTCAGGTATCTATCTTGTGCAATCGCAGGAGTAATAATCACTTACCTAGTTACTGCGCCAACTGTCCTATCAATGAATATCACTACATAGTATAAAACAAAGTCGCTATCCGCCGTCTGTCTGTCCCTATATATGCTTAGATCTATAAAACTATGCAACGGATTTTGATGAGGTTTTCGTTAATAGATAGAGTGATTCTTAAGAAAGGTTTATATGTATAATACATGGATATTGCACCCGTGCGAAGCCGGGGGCGGGTCGCTATAGTATAATATGTCATAGTTTCTTTGATTCAATATTATGACGTCATTTTTTTTAAATAACCTCAAAAGCAACTACCCGCCTTTTAATATTCAAACATTAAAAAGGAACAATATGTCATAACTGTCAAAATATGTCTTCAAAAATATCCGTTATTTTTGGTACCCGAGTCTAATACGAAAGAGTTTTAATACTCTTTTTATATTATCTGTGGTACCGCGCCGGATCAGTTGTTGTCACTGAGTCGTATCTAATAAGTCCTGTTTATAATTAAACTGGCTACAAATCTAAAGTTATTTTTGTCCAATGGTCATTAAAACTAAAAAAATATTGTAATACTGCTGTTTCGAGTGTAGAGTTTTGGCCTGTTATTTTTTAAGCGCCATGACATCTCATCATAATTATATAAGCCAAAAACTTACTCTAATAACTCATGAAGAACATAGGCATCCCCTGATTACGTACAGATCGGCCTCATAAATAGTTTTATCTGACCCGAGAATTGAAATCTACATGATTCACAATCAAATAGACTGCCTAGATCAAAGCTGAACTCAATGGCTACCATAAAACCCATTACATTTAAGAAAAAAACATCAAACACAAATACGCCAATACTTCAAAACAAAAAACGATCAATTTAATCAAAATAAATTATCAAAAAAAGAACTTTTCGTTCATGCCAATGCTTTATTTCATTTGAACGTTTAAAAAAAACGCAAACGTCAAAGTGACATAAAGTTTGACAGATTTATTTGACAGGTTGATAATATTTAAGGCTTGTAACAACACTGAGAGGAGCGTTCATGTTTTAAAAATAAATAGAGCGGCGTTAGAGCTAAATAAATTTGTTTTTATGTGAAATTAAGATGTATGTCGTATATTCTCGAGTTTATCGGGCGCGGAGATATTTTTAGTGTTAAGCCTAGGGTAGGCTGACGGGTGTCTCTTTAGATTTTAGCTTTAGTTTTCACTAAGAGTGCTGTTTAATGGAAAATGATGTTATTAACTTTGTATTGCAATTTTTATTTTTTTCAATCAATCAATCCGCGATTATTTGTTTTATCTCAATATTGATTATGGGAACAGGCAGTGTATTTTTTTTATTTTCTCAATTCTTCAAACGTCCATAAATTAGAATTGCATTAAATAGAAACAGGTAATAGAAGGAAAACATACAAAACAACAGAGGAGCACATTATGCCACTGTACCTACAATGTAACACCCACTTTTCACTATTGTGTTATGAGTCCTATGTAATAGGGGTGAGCCTATTGCCATATACCGGGCACAATTCCAGACTTTGTGCTACTACTTTAAAAGACCCAGTAATACTTAGCCCTACCCGGGAATCGAACCCGAGACCCCTTGCCCGGCAGTCGCACTGGCGACCACTCGGCTACCGAGGCAGTCAAAGTTTTGTTAATACAATTTCCAGAGATTTATTTATTTATTTAAGTTTTATACAATTGCATAAGGAAGACTTAATTCTAACACCATTCTCTTCCAGTCATCCTTTGGGTAGAGCAGAAATGTATGTGGTTTAGTTACATACACATTTTATAAGTATACTAGCGACCCGCCCCGGCTTCGCACGGGTGCAATATGCATGTATTATACATACAAACCTTCCTTAAGAATCACTCTATCTATTAAAAAAAACCGCATCAAAATCCGTTGCGTAGTTTTAAAGATCTAAGCATACATACGGACATACAGCGAAAGCGACTTTGTTTTATACTATGTATTGATAGGTTTGTCAAAATTCTAAATCTCGAGTAGCCAAAACTGAGAAACTAGCGCTTAATTGTGTCTTCAGCCTAATTTACTAATTCGCGTATGTTCTTAGCATTTTATTTACGATGTCCGTCCATTCGGCGGTGTACTAATAGCTATACTGAAATAAATTATAATGCTTTCACAGTTTTTAACGATTATATGCAGAATACTGGGACTGGGAACTACTCTATAATTGTAAATGACAGACATTATCTATGTGAAGAAGAGTTTTTTGCTTTAAAATTAGTGTTAGATCTGTGTAAAATTTTTGGTTTTACGTAATGAAAAATTTATAACGAATTCGCGTTTTTTAAATGTTAGCTTAGGTCATTTGAGTTGTGATTCCATTGTATTGTAACCCTTGACTTATGTAGCAAGTATGACTGCCAAAGAATAGGTCGGGGCTTATAATCCTTATTTGGAAAAGCGCTAAGAAGTTTTCTGGTTTTACTATACAGTGATACCATGTGGAACAGATTCCAGAAATCTGATTACTAACAACTTACCTACATATATGGAATGAATGGTTGTTTTTATAATAACTACCGTGGGATATACTAAATTAACTGAAAATCGGGGGTTACTCACGTGAATATACTGAGAAAAGCTAGTTTCAAACTACGTTATATGCAACACTGACTTTATGCCGAACCCACTACCTGCGCCGCTGGTGAACGTACCGTACGGCGACCGCACACACTGCTCGTGAGGAAGGCCCCTCTGTGGTTCGAAACTAGTAGTGCTTTTCTCGGTATATTCCGTGAGTGAGTAACCCGTGATTTTTAGTTGATTTGGTTGTCTAAGGTATTTCCAAGCCGATACGATACTCAAGAAAAAGGCGTAGGTACTCCTTCTTAAATGGTCAGCAACGCACTAAACTTGTAATTCCTCTAGCGTCATGGACGCCACTGATCATATACTACCAGAATATCGGTCTACTCATTGTCCCCTCTCCAACAAAAAAGTATAACTTAATTGTAACTGCTGACCTTGTTCTTTCCATCAGGTAAACGCAGCATTTGAAGAGCTGCGCATCAGAGCGCGAGCTGGTAGCGGGAGACTGCCGAAACTGGAGATATTACGAGCTGCAATACAGCATATAGAGAGACTGCAAGCTGCACTGAGAGCTGCGGCCGTGGTAAGACGTGACGCCATTTTATGATAGAGGCGCCTTCTAGGTGCCTAGTAATATTCTCCGAAACGAAATTTCTTTAATTCTTCTTACTATACAGGTTTGGAAAATGGCTACGTGCAACTTTAAAAAAAATTGCAATGAATAGAAAGAAATAAAGGTGTGGGAGAGCCATGCTTCAACACGAATGGGCCGGCTCGACCGGAGTGATATGACGGCCTCACAGACAACCGACGTGAAGCAACGCTTATTGCGTTCAGTTTCGTCGTGTGAGTGAGGTTACCGGACTCCCAATTCCCTCCCCTTCCCCAATGTCCCCAATTCCTGAATCCCCAACGATCCTCCACATCCCTAAAAGGCCGATAACGCACTTGTAACGCCTCTAGTGTTCCAGGTGATCCGTCTGCTCGTTTACCGGCTTATGCCATAAAAAAGATATTTTATTTCATACGCTAAAACAGTTGACACGTACAGATTTTAGACATAAGTTTACAAACACCTACTAATGTCCCAAGTCTGCGGTGAAATGGGACCAGTTCAGCATGTGCAAGACAGGGCCTCGCTCTGGTATTCTACTGGTCCTTTAAGTGACTCGCGGACGAACAAGTCAACAATCAGACAACAATAAACATACCTCTATAGCAATTTTTAGGTACTGAACACACATCATAAAATACACATAATAAAACATGACTAGCTATTACGCTCAGTTCAAGGCATTTTAAGCTGAGCTCTGGCCTTTTTGCGCCGTCTTCACTATATTTAAACAATTCTTTTCGTGTTTTTGTATGTTGTGACAATGCAAATAAACAATTTTCTTTCTTTCAAGTGTCATAAAGGCCATTTGAAACAATGCAATCAAACAAACAAAATCCTCAGTTTTCTAATATTACTATCTAAACATACATAAGATAGCATCGTCGGTCCGTCCGTGTAGATGTTTTGCGATGTTAAATTGTCATTTATATACGTCTGCAGATAATTTATAGTTACACGTGCGCCGCAGCTCGGAATAGATTCACGAGAAATCTTCGCTTATAAATTGCTAATCATTTTAATTGCTAAACGTTTTCGATGTTATATTTTGAGCTTGGGTGAAGTGGTTGAATGTGCAACAGATAGATTTTTGGGTGGAACAAAATATCTTATTGAGACTCATCTATATATAAAAAAGAAAGTCGTGTTAGTTACACTCTTTATCTGAAGAACGGCTATATCGATTTGGATGAAAATTGGTGAGCATTTAGCTTAGAACCAGGAGACGGACATAGGATACTTTTTACCCAATACTTATTTTTTACTTTTAACCGAAAATCAAGAACGGGTACGGGAAATATCGGGATTGCGCGTACGAAGTCGCGGGCAGAAGCTAGTAACTAAATAAAAACTAAATAAATCTTTTAATCACTTAACTGCATTGGTGTGGTGGCTGGGCAACCAGCTACCGTGCAACATGTCGCGGGTTCGATTCCCGCACGGAACAACACTTTGTGTGATCCACAAATTGTTGTTTCGGGTCTGGGTGTGATGTGTATGTGAACTTGTATGTTTGTTAACGTGCGTTACAGGACGATACAGGAGAAAATCATAGATTGGGGCAACGTCAAAGATGTAACGGTACAAATAACAAAACGTTGTGATGGACTTTTATAAAGGATGCATTTAATATAGCCCGAACAACAGCGCTTTTAGAGGCAAAGTCAGAGTCAAAATCATTTATTTCAATTAGACCAGAAAGGCACTTTTGAACGTGAACCAAAAATATTTAAAAGTAAAGCTATTTGCCCATTCCAAGGTGTAGATTCTGAGCAGACCACAGGTGAGGCCCATTAGGGCTGGTGCCGATACGGAGTCACGGAGGACTTAAGAAGTTGCCGGGGCTCCGGCTCAAAGTGCAGGAGTAGGAACGGGGTGGTTTTTAGTCAGTAAGAATCTGACACTCCCTCCTGCCTCACCTGGGCTAGAGAAGTAATTGGATGATTTTCCTCCCTCAAAAAAAGGTGTATATAGATTCTAACAGAGAAGAAACTCTATAGGTTTTAAACTGTCAAACACCAAGCGGTCACCGGTGACCGCAACCTATTGTTCTATAATTGTGTCTATAATGACGGTACTCGACGAGTTAATTAGGATCACAATACATTTTTTAGTTATATAGTTTTGTTGGTTTAGGTGTGTAAGAACAATGTAAAACCGAAATCTACTCAAATAGATAACAGAAAATAACCGTAAGGACAATAAAATCATACAGTCTGCAGCTGACCAGTCCCTGTTGACGGAACGGTTAAACGGGGCGCCGTTCACGAACATGACACGTATACCAGCACCGCCCAACTCTGAAATCTGAAAATGAAATCTTAAAATTATTATATTATATTAATGAGACTTTTGAGTTAGCATTTCTGATAAACTGGACCTTTTAACTCGTTGAGTACCGTTGCGGTCACCGGTGACCGCTTGGTGTTTGACAGCAAGCCACATGAGTAACCATAGCGTGCTTAACTATATATTTTTTATATTATACGAGCAGATAGATTACCTGATGGTAACCAAGGCACCGCCCTTGAACGGTCGAAACGCAAGAGACGTTACAAATACGTTGCCGGCCTTTTGGGGATTAGAAATTTGATTGTTGGGGATTCAGGGATTTGGGAAGATTGGAGAGGGGGGTAACTGGGCCTCCGGTAACCTCACTCACACGACGAAACACAACGCAAGCGTTGTTTCACGTCAGTTTTCTGCTCGTCTGTGGTATCATTCCGCTTGAGCAGACCCGTTCGTGCCGAAGCATGGCTCTCCAACACTTAAAACCTACTAAACTATTGGTCAACCACTACAAAACACCTTCCTATATCACTTCGTGGGGTCTGCGGATGGCGAGCATGGATAGCTCGCCCCCGACCAGAACCAGACCCGAGCGTACGGCGCGACGGGTCAAAAAAGCCATCAGGCCACCACAGATGGGATCCAATAGGGCTGATGCCGATACGGAGCCGCAGTAGACTTAACGGGTTGCCGGCTCGAAGGGCAAGAGTAGGTACGGGGTAGTTTTTAACCAGTATGATCTTTGCATTTGCAGCCTGACACTAAGGCGTGAGGAGTCATACGATGATTATCCCCCTTAAAAAATATAATATATCTCTTCGCGACCACCCTTTCAATAAATGTCGTGTAAAACAGTGACATTAGCACCGCAAATAGTCTATTTCGGTGGCTCGCGCCGCGTCGGCGAGCCTGTCAAGTGTGTTACTGATTCGCAACGATACGGGCTCCATGTGAGTTTAATTACTTGAATGCTGGGCTATTAAAAGCGCAGGGGATGTGGGGTTCTGATTAGTAGATATAATAAACATATAACATTATGTTATTTAGAAATAAATACTCAATTTTCACCAGGTGATGTTTAGAGTAGTAAAAAAAAGTTGCAAACAGTTAACGGCGTCATTATCCTAAACCCAAAGTTAACAATTCTGCTCTTGCATTATAACACTTTGGTTTCAAGCAATTGAGCCGTGTCACTGCTCTCAACCAATCCAATAAAAATACAGATAAGAGTAAGTTACCGCGATGCTTAACCACGCGGGATGATAATGATTTGTTAAATAAAACTTAAAGTTTTTCGAAAAACTAACCTGTATCAAATCGACCGAATGGCAAGGGTACGATTTCCGGGGCGGTATTGGGTATTTTCAGTCCTTTCACTTAAAATTATAAGTAATTCAAAATCTAAAATTTGTATCTAACTAGTATGTGGGAATAGCCTCATCGCGTTTTATACGCGATTCATAACATGCCTACAGCTTGGCAGAAAATGGTTACTGTGGCAACCTGGTACGCTAGGACTCAACTGGTTTTAATATTTGTTATTTTTATCGAGTGTAAAAGAGGAGGTACTATGTTCGGATGCTTGTTTAGTTTATTTATGGGATTTTTTTTTATGGGAGGAAAATCATCGAATGACTGGTCTCGTCTGGGTGAGGCGGGAGGGAGTGTTAGACTCTTACTGACTAAAAACCACCCCAGTACTTCTGCTGCACGTCGAGCCAGAGCCCCGGTTACCCGTTAGGTTCTCCGCGACTTATTTATGGGATATGGTCAAAAGTGGGTGATTCAGTCCAAATCAATATTAGGCTAGACACATGACGATTATATTCCGCCCTCGCCCCGGTTGGCGGGCGATCACAATGCGACGGCCAGGCTGGAACTCAACTGATTGTTTAACCGGCCAGTTTGACGAAAATTAACCGCTAAGTTTTTGGCCGATAATCGCAACCACGGTGGCTACGGGAACGCAGAAAATTGCGATCTCGTGAAGTCAAAGTCAAAGCATTTATTTCAATTAAACCATAGTTTGGTACTTTTGAAACGTCAACAAATACAAAATAAATAATAGTCTGTCAGTCAGTCCGTCAGCGAAATTAGGTGAAGCTAGGTGCTCATTCCAAAATGTAGATTCGAATGGAGAAGAACGAGCAAGAAACTCCATTCGTTACTCTTTTTAAAAAAAGTATGTTCTACAATGTCTCTGATACATATTTCAATACTGTACGCATATGTAAGAACAATGCAAAGACACGCTTGACGCATTATACTATCTAATAACTTACTAAAATAAAAAAAATAAAAATCTTAAGTCTAACATGGTGCTCACATACGCATACTGACAATCCATAGAAATAGTGCTTCTATACAAGAAAAAGGAAGAGTTTTGAGTTTTGAAATTTGGCATCCATCTCTCAGCGGCGCGCGCGTGTGAAGATCCCGCCGTCAATCCTTAGCCTTAGTGTCAGCTGTTACCGCGTCAAACTCTTTTTTGCTATGCTGTAACTAACAGTACAAGTATAAAAAAGTTATAATGTATTGTTACAGTTGGAGTCTGAAAGCTGCAAGAGTTACATGGAGTCGCCTGTGACGTCACAGCGCACTTACGAAACAAGAGATATGAAGACAGAAAAAGAAAAACCTTTCCTAAGCAGTAAGTAGATATTATTTAAAACGAAAATTATCTATAAGGCACATTAGTTCAAGAATACGTACACACAAGAAGCACATAAGACCCGACGCAGTTTTCCATATTTGTGTGCAGACCCCAAACTAAGCGACAAGCATGGAAAACTGGGTTGGATATGCAAACTACTAGCTTATCCGTTAAACGTAAATAAAGCATTAAAAGTACACATCCACACTTCCCAGTATCAAATACAAAGATAACTAACATTTCTAGATAGTAACGCATTAAGATAACCGACCGTTGCCAGGTTCCGGACTTAGGCTTCTCGTCAGTTCTATTTCGTCGTTATTTAGAGTGCCTGCTGTCAGTGCTTTTCAGACATTTCTCAATCTATTTTTTAATTCGGTTGCAGACCAAGAACTAAGCTAAGTTAGTTTAACTTCGTTCTGCAAGGCTGGGCCGCTGAAGAGAATTAAAAAGAGATTTTTTTATGGCATAAGCCGGTAAACGAGCAGACGGATCACCTGATGGTAAGCAATCGGCGTCGCCTATGGACACCTGGAATACCAAAGGCATTACAAGTGCGTTACCGGCCTTTTGGGGATTAGGAGTTTAAGGATCGATGGGGATTCAGAAATTGGGGAGATTGGGGAAGTAGAGGGTAATTGGGTCTCCGGTAACCTCACTCACACGACGAAACACAACGCAAGCGTTGCTTCACATCGGTTTCCTGCTCGGCCGTGGTATCACTCCGGTCGAGCCCACCCATTCGTGCCGAACCATGGCTCTCCCACACTTATGTTGTTTGTATGTGCGCCATCTTGGAAAAATGGGGGCCAAAAACAGTTTTTTTACAATATCTCTTTTCTGTGCATGCAAAACTCCCAGAAATATTCCAGGTAGATATACCAATCTACTGAACTACATGGTAAACCATCTAGTCAAAGAGCCATCAGACCACCACAGATGGGGCCTAGTAGGGCTAATTAGCCGATACGGAGCCACGGAAGGCGTAACTGGTTACTGGTGGTCTTTAGTCAGTAAGAGTCTAACACTACCTCTCGCCTAACCCAACGCGAGAAAAATAATTGGGTGATTTTCCACTCTCAAAAAAGATAATTTAAAAAAACCATCTAGTGATACGTCTGTCGTCTGTCTCATAAAAAAGAAGAAATAATGAATTGATGCAGTATAAGTCTATTTTATTCTTGTTTCAGATGACACAAGTTCCTGTGGTGTAAACAGTCTAGCTAGATTACGATGTATCGTGCAAGCTCTTTCTAGTAATAGTAAAGACACGCCGTGACCTAATTTATAATTATAAAGGTTTATTAGGTAGGTAATAAAGTCAAAATAAACTAGTAAAAGTTAACTGATAAAAAGACGACATTGCCTTAATCGAATGAAGCGCCACCTACTGAGCGCAAATATCGATGGAAGCTATCTAGCAAACTATTCTGTATGTACAAAAATGTTTCATCAATGTTGGTCGAGCCATTTAGGAGGAATATTATATTAAAATACCTACCCAAGTTTTTTTTTAATTTTAAATTCCGACTGGATAGGATCTCGACAAAAATACTGTTCTCTCATGACGTCATATTTTTGTAGTGCAATATCGATAAAACTATTTATAACAAAGTCTTGTTAGTGACACTGTTTACAGCTCTAAGACGGCTGGTCAGAAATTCATCATCTTTGATTTGTTACATTTCGTCTCCGCCCTAAATAGCAGGAGACCTATTAAAATATCAAACGTCACACACATATAAAAGAAAAAAGTATTCACCAAAAGTGAACAGGTAGCTACACTTTAAAATTTAATGACGTAAAAAAAAAAGATTTTGACTGTTGACTTCAGTTAAACGCATTTTTAAGAGACAAATTATTACATCTAAAAATATATAGATTATTATAATATTTCAGAGACAGGGCTTCAAATATAGCAACCAATTTGAAAAATGACACTCAGTTTAATAATAATATGCAGTGGTACTTCTGTATCCAAAAAAGAAAAGATCAAGAAAATCTGTCCAGGCGTTTTCGAGTTAGGTAACAACCAAATATTTATATATAAATTGTGCAAAGAGTAGTTATGTTTTTATACCAATACTAGCGAGCCCGACAGACGTTGTCCTGCACATTATTACGATATTTCAAGATCTTAAGATTTAAATTACCTAGACATCGACAGCAGTGCCATCTGCCGGGCTGATTTGTGAATCTAAACCATCCAGGGCGCCACTCAAACGCATACAGATAAATTCATTTAAATCGGTCAAGCCGTTTAGGAGGAGTTCAATGACATACACACGTACAGCAGAATTATATATATAAATATGACTAAAAATCGCGGGTTAATCACGTGAATATACTGAGAAAAGGTCTACTATTTTCTCAATATATTCACGTGAACTGATTGCCTCGTTGTTTTACTGGTCGTAAGTGCGACTGCCGGGTAATCTCGGGTTCCATTACCGGGTCGTGCAAAGTATTATTGGGATTTTTTAATCTTCTCGGTAGTAGCACGGAGTCTGAAGTTTTGCCCGGTATATGGCAATAGGCTCACCCCCTATTACATGTTTTTTCTTTTTTTTTTTTAGTAACCCGCGATTTTTACTTAACCATTATTTCTGTTTTATATTTTACAATTAGGTAGTTAGCCATAGATAATATTTATAAATGTGATTTTTACTGTATTTAAGTTTATATGGAAGAACATATTATTAAATCTACTTATGTATAATAGTTAGGTTGTGCCAGAAATGCTCAATATTTGAGAATAAAAATAATTTTATAAGCTTTTTTCAATTGTTTTATTTTAGGTACCTATAATAAAACTGAAATGAGTTGTCACTGGAAGTTTTTTCCTAACTGCTAATAATCGTTAATTTGATGATGACGCTTATGAAACGTACTAACAGCAAGTACCAATGTGACTTTTTCCGAGTTATATATACTTTCTAAGATTATTTGAACACCACTGGCAGACGGTGAAGGAAAAACATCGTGAAGAAACCTGGGCTTATAATTTCTAATTATAAGTTTGAAATCACCAACACGCATTGAGCAAGCGTGTTGATTAATGCTCAAACCTTCATCCGTGTGAGAAGAGGCTTTGCTCACCAGTGGGTATTTATAGGCTGTTGATAATGATGATTATACATATACATACATAATTTCATGCCAGTCTCCCAAGGGGCCGGCAGGGACTATGGAACGACAATTGCTACGATTCCTACATACCTCTGTCGCTGTATGTGTTTTCGTAATGTAAGTTAAATTGTATTACAATTTCCCCGTGTATGAAAAGGCCTTTGGTCAGTGGGCATTTATAGGCTGATGATGTATATATATAATCCTTTAATTTAAACCTTTAATAGAGTGCAATGTCTTTTAAAACAAGTCGCAAGTGCGACTGCCAGGCAAGGGGTCTCGGGTTCGATTCCCGGGTCGGGCAAAGTATTACTGGGTTTTTCAAAAATTCCCAGTAGTAGCACGGAGTCTGGAATTGTCCCCGGTATATGGCAATAGGCTCACCCCCTATTACATGGGACTCATAACATAAATAGTGAAAAGTGGGTGTTACATTGTACAGTGGCATAATGTACACCTCTGCCTACCGCTTCGGGGATAATAGGCGTGATGTTATGTTATGTTATGTCTTTTAAAACACCGGAAAAGCAGATGACTATAAGTGGTGTTGATCCGTCTAAGTACTCGTTTGCTCCTATTTAAATAAATATAAAAAACCTAAACAAAAGATAAGCGTGTTATATACTATTACTATTTATGTTATGAGTCCCATGTAAGAGGGGGTGAGTCTATTGCTATATACCAGACAAGACTCCACTAGACTAGACTAGAATGCACGGTTGGCGCGGTGGCTGGGCAACTGACTGCCGCGCAACGTGTCGAACAACTCTTTGTGTGATCCACAGATTGTTACGGGTCTGAGCGTCATGTGTATGTGAACTTGTATGTTTGTAAACGCACCCACGACACAGGAGGTAATCCTAGTGTGGGGCAACGTTTTTTAAAAAAAGAAAAATGAAATAGAAAAATTCGAAAAGAAATTATTTCAAAATGTACCTATTTGAATACATAAAGTTTAGGTACTTATGCAACCTGAATGTTATTTCGAGAGACGTTCCTAATGGTGGCGGCGATGTGTGCAGGCGCAGGTGGGCGTGGTTTGGCACGGTCTACGCTCCGCCCATAACGAAAGTGTTTAATGATGTTGCGTTTGAAGCATAGATTAGTTCAATTTCATGTTTGTTTATTATTATAAAATAGATTTTCTCATTGAAGTAAGTAAGTACTAGATGTAGGAATGTCTATTTATGTTATGCGTATTTATGCAGTTGGAAAGCCTAAATTCTTGTACATTTGTTTAGTAATAAGGTCTATAAATATGGCCTATCCGAAAGGCAGTGGGGCGTATAATTATGACATAGTTACTTTGGATGATTCGGCCGGGAATTGAACCCGAAACCCCTTACAGTCGCAGTAGCGACCACTCGACCGACAAAAGCATAGATTGTACTGATGTTTTTTAACGAACATAAATTGTTTGTTCTTTAATGTTCAGAAGTTAAAAAAATTGAACCACTCCTTTCAAGGTCGCATAACATAACATCACGCCTTTTATCCCCGAAGGAGCAGGCAGAGATGCAAACGGAAATAACACCCACTTTTCACTAAGTATTTATGTTATGAGACCTATGTAATAGGACTGACTGCACGGTTGGTTCGGTGGCTGGGCAACCGGCTGCTGCGCAACGTGTCGCGGGTTCGATTCCCGCACGGAGCAACTCTTTGTGTGATCCACAGATTGTTGTTCCGTGTCTGTGTGTGATGTGTATGTGAACTTGTGTGTTTGTAAACGGACACACGACACAGGAGACAATCCTAATGTGGGGCAGTTCATTTAAAAAAAACAAAAAAGAAGTGGGTTTGAGCCTATTGCTACTACTGAGATTTTTTACTCTTTTCTTAAAGTCACAATTAGCAATTATATATCTTTAGGAGAGTCAAGAAGAAGAAGTTGGGAACAAGGGTTGGGTTCGAAAATTTTACTCTCTACATTTTAGCTAGGACCTCTACTGTTTAAGGATGTCAAGAACAAAAACAAAAAGTTAGTTTTAAAAACATTATAATTAAGTAAAAATGTAACATTTTACAAAAATATATTTACATGATGCGTATTACATATATATACTATACTAGTTACAGTCAGCGGTACATACATACATACATACGCGAAGATTCTAACAATTTTACATACATTTCTAGGGTAGGCACATGTATAATAGGGTAGTTTCCTAAATTTTATTTTAATGTCCGTCTGGTACATTAATTTAAAACTTTAGACACGTATTTTTTCTTTTCTCACAAAACTAAATACTTTCGACGATATATTAATTTGAAATATCGTGTGACGTCACAGCGTGCCACATTTTGTAGCACGCTATGACGTAACGACCTCCCACTCCTAAACTTAGCGCCATTTTATCTAAGTATTGCAACTTAATACGAGGAAATAAAAAAATACGTGTCTAATATTTTTTCATTGTCTAACTGACGGACTAATTAGATTTTTAATTTTGATACTCTGGAAACTACCCAATTCGCACAAAAATTTAGTACTTGCTTCTGCCAACAGTGTTCCTTTAGGATAAAAAGAAGCCTGAATGTTAATCCAAATTGTATTCCGACCTCTTCAGCCGTTTTGTTTTTCATACACAAGCTTCGCATTTAGGTAAAGTACAGTTAAGAAAACAAATATTGATTATACTCAGTACACAGTAACCATTGTCTAGAACTGTGGCTTCGATATGGTAAAGATATGGTTTCGTTTCAAAGCATACAATTAAGTATAAAAATAGCTACTGTCTCGAGGGAAGTGAAAACTATAGTTTTTTCTTCTTTCTTCTGATTTACTTCATTGGACCAAGACAGTTACTCATGTCCCTGGGACGTTGGACTTCAGTGTTCCGGTGTTTTCATGGTTGTATCTACTGTAGATCCTGGTACACAGGAGTTGCAGGGGTTTTGGGAGGTTGTGGCGGGATTGTCCCATTAAAAAAAATAGCTACTGTCTCGATACTGAATCAATATTTAGTTTCTATCCTGCATACTAAATATTTGTGCTGGTCACAAAACAAATACAAACGCCACCTATTAATCATTATGTTATGAGTCCCTTATAATAGGATTTGATTTGTGCATAATTTGTTTTAAATCTAGTTAAGTCAAATTGGGGCTGAATTTCAGACTAAAAATTTAACGCCTGTATACTTTATTTTTTTCTATTAAGTAGATTAAAAAGCATAACTGTTCATTTGAAGCAGTTGGGTAAAAATGTTGGAGAATATTTTGAAGCCGACGAAGGAGGAAGAAGGACGATTCATTTGATTTAAAATATCACATAATGGTCGCATTTTAGTACATTTTACTAAACCAATTGATGGGAAATCGGATGACCAAGTTATATTAAGAATTTAACATATTACACATAGTAATAACAGAACTCAAATATCCAACAAAAACTTAAAAAAATCACAAGCTAATCGGACCGATAAAATTGACCTACAAAAAATTTTAACTGATAAGTTGACCTACGCAGTATCGACCGTACAAAACACTAGACTTAATTTACAGGCCACAAAAATTCGATCCTATAAAAATGACGTACAGAAAATCGACCTACAAAAATGACCTATACAAAAAATCGGACGAATTTTTTTCTTGGAGTTTTTTATACCAGTACAGACATGTAACTACTCTATTAAGGCAATTTGACACCAAATTAATTAGCATCTACTTATATAATAAGAAAATTACAAAATTTAGCATTATATACAGACATAACTAAGTAAAAATGGACATAACTATTATTATTTTTTATTTTTATTTAAAAAAAATCGTTATTTTTTTACTTGGTGACTTCAAATTTTATATTTAAACGGGGAAGTATGAGTTTCGATATCATTATCATAGCTATCATTGAGAATTAAAATAATACAAAAAATATAAGTAATAATACTTTTAACTAACTCGAGAATCGAAGTCTTATCACCAACAGTTCATTTACAAACATTTGAACCGATATCTGTGCGAATACTAGAAAAAAAAAAAACAGAAAATAAAATCACCAAATAAAAAAAAACAACGAAGTATTTCGCGGGCGAATTTTTCGAAACCCATTTCCATTCTTTGAATACATTTTTGAGAACAATAAAAAAAATTGATTACTGTAAAAGCTTTTCGAAAAAGCCGCCCCTTACCACTTCGTGCGTTGTTTATTTATTTTCACATTAAAAATCCTTATAAAAAAAAAACGTAAGTTGCTTACGTCATTCGTTACATATTGTTATTTTTTATTACAATCTAAATAACTTAATTGTAACATCAAATTTACATTGCACAAATTATTTTCAACGTTCACGAACTTTATTTTATGGCATAAGCCGGTAAACGAGCAGACTGATCACCTGATGGTAAGCAATCGGCGTCGCCCATGGACACCTAGAACACCAGAGGCGTTACAAGTGCGTCACCGGCTTTTTGGGGATTAGGAGTTTGAGGATCGTTGGGGATTCAGGGATTGGGGAGATTGGGGAAGAGGAAGGTAATTGGGCCTCCGGTAACCTCACTCACACGACGAAACACAACGCAAGCGTTGCTTCACGTCGGTTTTCTGTGAGGCCGTGGTATCACTCCGGTCGAGCCGGCCCATTCGTGCCGAAGCATGGCTCTCCCACACTTGAAAAATAATAATTAATTCATCTTCATTCATAATGACTGTTTTTTTATTAAATTAAGTAAAAAAGCCGACCAATATAAACCGACCTACCTGAAGTACACTGCATGTATTTCTGTCTCTGTCCCTCCTTAATCTAATTCCTATGTGCGTCTCGCTCACACAGTGAAACGGCTAACTTCAGAGAGGTCTAGATACGGTGGACTTGAAGTAAAATTATAACAAACAAGTTTCAGCGTTATATTTGTGCAATATAAATTTAATTTTTTAACTCTCGATGTATTCATAGCAAATTTTATTGAAACATCACTTTTTTAATCACAGGGTAGACAATTTTTTTTTTGTTAAGGGGGGAAAATCATCGAATGGCTGGTCCCGTCTGAGTGAGGCGGGAGGGAGTGTCAGACTCTTACTGACTAAAAACCACCCCGTTCCTTCTCCAGCATGTCGAGCCGGGCCCCGGGTACCCGTTAGGTTGTCCGCGACACATGGTAGACAATAGGTGCGCTATACACAGTGTAAACAGACTGCTCCCGAAAAATGCCGACAAGTGATGGAAAAAAACAAGTAATATTTACATAAAAGTAGGGAATTAAATGTTTATTATATGTAATAACTAGCTTCTGCCCGCGACTTCGTACGCGCAATCCCGTTTTCTCCCGTTCCCATAAGATTTTCAAGATTTTTTCTATCATAAGTCCCTTCTCCTGACAATAACAAACACAACAAAAAAAAATCATCCAAATCGGTCTAGCCGTTCTCAAGTTATGGCGTGACAACGGGAAACGGGCTTCATTTTTACATAGACAGTTGTAATCAACTGCTCAAGGCTGATATTGCATGAATAACTAGAAAACAGAAACCATTAAAAATTTTAAAACAATTTCTTTTTTGTCTGTGTTTCGGGAGGGTTCCGGTTACACCTTAAATACAATGTAACACCCACTTTTCACCAGTTACATTATAATTGATAGTCGGCAAACGAGCAGACGGATCACCTGATGGTAAGCAAAAGCGCCATGGACACCCAGAGGCGTTATAATTGCGTTGCCGGCCTTATGGGGATTAGGAGTTTGAGAATGGTTGGGGATTCGGAAGATTGGTGAAATTAAACTTCCAACAACCTCACTCACACGACGAAACACAACGCAAGCGTTGTTTCACGTCAGTTTTCAGCTCGGCCGTGGTATCACTACGGTCAAGCTGGCTCAGCAATGCCGAAGCATGGCACTCCCACACTTAAAACCTACTAAACTGATGGTCAACCACTACAAAAGCAGTCAGGGATTGAAGGATTGGAAATTTGGCGATTGGAGAGATTGTGGAGGGGAGGAATTTGGTCTTCTGTAACCTCACACACACGTCTGCACACAAAGTAAGCGTTGTTTCACGTCGGCGTGGTCGTTGTACCACTCTGGTCGGACTGAAGGCGACTTTTGTTCAATAGTTGGCGTGTGTTTGACCACGTTTGGTTTCTTTGTGTTGTTTAACGCATCATTCATACATCCGTGTACGTAGGAGTTGATGACAGTGATGATTACAAATTCGTTATGAATACTATAACAAGAGTAACGATATAATTATGTTCCTAATATCACTTGGTGTGAGTCTCATCACGCGTTGCTCAGCAATTCACTGGAACGAGCAGAAAATATTTGTTAGAAAAGTAATAATAATAATTTTGATTTTGAGATGACGTGGTTTTACTTAAAAATCTTGATTTACATAACATAACTTCACGCCTTTTATCCCCGAAGGGGTAGAGGTGCACATTATGGCACTGTACAACGTAACACCCACTATTCACTATTTATGTCATGAGTCTCATGTAATAGGGGGTGAGCCTATTGCCATATACTGGGCTCAGTTCCAGACTCCGTGCTACTACTGAGAATTTTAAAAACCCAGTAATACTTTGCCCGACCGGGGAATCGAACCCGAGACCCCTTGTCCGGCAGTCGCACTTGCGACCACTCGGCCAACGAGGTAGTCAAAAATTATATTAAAGGTAAACTTACTTAGTTAATTCTCTCGTGGTCATCGCCCCCGTTAAACCTGACCGCGATCGCGACCTACTTAGCTGTGCTCTTCTTTCAGCTGTAAGCAAAATAAAATAAATTTCATTAAAAAAACCGAATAAGAAGCTTCCTGCCAAGTATGGGGATTATGGCTAACCCTCTGAACTAGAGATTTCAGCAGTGGACTGTCACGGGACATCTTAATCCAAAATCAAAGTCAGAGTCAAAATCATTTATTTCAATTAGACCAGAAAGGCACTTTTGAACGTTAACAAAAAAAAAAGTGAAGCTATTTGCTCATTCCAAGGTGTAGATTCTTATGGAGAAGCTTTACTGACCTGACAGACATACCCGACGACTAGTCGAATTCAATACTTTTTTCGAACTGTCAAAAGCGACAGTTTTCTATGAATTTTGTACGAGATTGTATATTGTGTGACGTCACGTTTTGTAGCGTCAAACAGCATACTTATATCTTAAAAATTTGCTGGAAAGATACTAAAATTAAGTTAGTCATAAAATCAATTAATGAAAGTGTGATTATTATTTAATTTTTTATTGTATTGAACAGTTGAAATAATTTATTTTTGATTAAGGAAAGTACCCAATTCAATGTTTGACGTTTTAAAAATGCCTAATTGAGGATAAATTGAAACAAAGGCTTTTGAGATTGACTTTACACAAAAAAAGATACCTATAGAGACTATAGTCAACTGAAAAAACATGAACACAAGATCTAACTACTTTCTGTGCATATAGTTGCTGAGTGCTGTCTACAGACACGTACCTTGCAGCCTGTGCAGTATTGCATGCACGATGCCATCGTTCTCGTACACATCCTCTGTGCGCATGTGTCAACATAACATAGACAGTGGTTTAACAAACACAAATGTATGGAAACTAATGCAATTTTTTGCTTTATTACTAGTAAATGTGAATTAAAATGTAGACTCTTAAACAACATGTGCAAATTACGGCACTTAATGCCACTGTACAATGTAACACCAACTTTTCACTATTTATGTTATGAGTTCCATGTAATAGGGGGTGAGCCTATTGCCATATACCGGGCACAATTCCAGTAATCAACTTATTACGCTACTTCATCGAATTGAATCAAAATGTTTGCGCAATGGCGAAACTTGCGCTAATTTAGCGCAAACATAAATTCGTTGCGCAAACTTATTTATTAAACCTATTTTAATAGTATGTTATTATACATTAATTTGAAACTATTTAAATTAAATTACTTTTTAAATTTGAGTAGGTAAATGGATGAACAATAAACAATGATTTCTAATGCTCGACATTAAGAATTAGAATTCTTTAAAGCCTAGTGGTTATATATAGCTTTTTGTAACCTACCTTATTTGAACCTAGTGGTTTTAGTCTAGTCTAGTGACTAGAGCGACAAATACATCAGTGAAATAACGTGATATCTGACTAAAGTGTGTTAACTCGTCGAGTACCGTCATTATAGACACAATTATAGAACAATAGGTTGCGGTCACCGGTGACCGCTTGGTGTTTGACAGTTTAAGAAACGTTTATCTTACCTCCCGCTACCCGTGGGTTAGCTTTCTTCCTCGGCCGTTCTCTGCTAAACGCTGACCCGCTTTGTAGAGCTTCCATCAAACTGAAATAGAGATAAATCGGTTAAAAGAATATTGCATAATATTACGTCAGAGAGAAACATTAGGTAACCATTTATTAACAAGTTTGTTCAGGGACTTTTTATAGGATGAGCCGGTAAACGAGCAAACGGATCACCTGATGGTAAGCAATCGGCGTCGACTATGGACCAAGGAGTTACAAATACGTTGCCGGCCTTTTAGCAGTTAGGAATTTGTGGATTGGGGATTATTTCATCTCGAAGTCTTATTATCACGTAAATCTATTTTAATATGCAAGGCGTAAGTATATGACACAAATTGTTGAAGTTGTTCGTTGCGCTGCGTTGCGTCGTTGCAGTTTTGTTTCTATGCGCTGATGGGGCATCCATTAGCATCTTAATCGTAGGGCGTCGCATCGTCGCGCGCGGCATTTCGTCTCAGATACAAGCATGTCGAGCAGTTGTTGGTATCTGTGCGTGTACCTGTCCATGACGCCGTCCTGCGCGTGGTGTATGTCGAGCAGTTGTTGGTATCTGTGCGTGTACCTGTCCATGACGCCGTCCTGCGCGTGGTGTATGTCGAGCAGTTGTTGGTATCTGTGCGTGTACCTGTCCATGACGCCGTCCTGCGCGTGGTGTATGTCGAGCAGTTGTTGGTATCTGTGCGTGTACCTGTCCATGACGCCGTCCTGCGCGTGGTGTATGTCGAGCAGTTGTTGGTATCTGTGCGTGTACCTGTCCATGACGCCGTCCTGCGCGTGGTGTATGTCGAGCAGTTGTTGGTATCTGTGCGTGTACCTGTCCATGACGCCGTCCTGCGCGTGGTGTATGTCGAGCAGTTGTTGGTATCTGTGCGTGTACCTGTCCATGACGCCGTCCTGCGCGTGGTGTATGTCGAGCAGTTGTTGGTATCTGTGCGTGTACCTGTCCATGACGCCGTCCTGCGCGTGGTGTATGTCGAGCAGTTGTTGGTATCTGTGCGTGTACCTGTCCATGACGCCGTCCTGCGCGTGGTGTATGTCGAGCAGTTGTTGGTATCTGTGCGTGTACCTGTCCATGACGCCGTCCTGCGCGTGGTGTATGTCGAGCAGTTGTTGGTATCTGTGCGTGTACCTGTCCATGACGCCGTCCTGCGCGTGGTGTATGTCGAGCAGTTGTTGGTATCTGTGCGTGTACCTGTCCATGACGCCGTCCTGCGCGTGGTGTATGTCGAGCAGTTGTTGGTATCTGTGCGTGTACCTGTCCATGACGCCGTCCTGCGCGTGGTGTATGTCGAGCAGTTGTTGGTATCTGTGCGTGTACCTGTCCATGACGCCGTCCTGCGCGTGGTGTATGTCGAGCAGTTGTTGGTATCTGTGCGTGTACCTGTCCATGACGCCGTCCTGCGCGTGGTGTATGTCGAGCAGTTGTTGGTATCTGTGCGTGTACCTGTCCATGACGCCGTCCTGCGCGTGGTGTATGTCGAGCAGTTGTTGGTATCTGTGCGTGTACCTGTCCATGACGCCGTCCTGCGCGTGGTGTATGTCGAGCAGTTGTTGGTATCTGTGCGTGTACCTGTCCATGACGCCGTCCTGCGCGTGGTGTATGTCGAGCAGTTGTTGGTATCTGTGCGTGTACCTGTCCATGACGCCGTCCTGCGCGTGGTGTATGTCGAGCAGTTGTTGGTATCTGTGCGTGCGGTCCCTCCGCTCCCGCTCGGCGGCGGCGCGCGCGCTGCGTGCCCGCGCGGCCCTGGCGGCCGCCTCGCGCGCTGCCGCTACTTCCGTGTGTGCCGCCTGGAATGGAAACATTTGGTTTCAATAATACAGAAAACATCGGTATTAAAAGGTGCAGTCCATGGCCTTCTACGGCCCCCCTGGGCCGAAACTGATGCGGCGGCCCGCTCGGGCGCTGCTCACGTCACAGATGGTCATGGCGATCCAAAAGATCGCAGATACCGCCCTGAGGACACGGTGGAACACACTGTAGGGACATGCCCTGCGTGGGCTGAGCACCGTCGTGCCTTTAGGGATGTCATCGGCGAAGGTGACCTCTCGCGTCCGGCGCTATGATGCGGAACGAAGAGGACTGGGATGCCGTCTCCTCCTTTTGCGAAACAGTCGTGCTAGCTAAGGAGGCCCAGCCATCGCGAAGGACACACCGGGCGTCGGGGATCGCGAGACGATCTCCGGCCACCGTAAGCGCGGGCCTGCGGACGGCGAGCATGGGTGGCTCCCCGTCCGACCAGAAACAGACCCGAGCGTACGGCGCCGAGCGGGCCGCGCGCGCCTCAAAGAGCCATCATGGGGCACAATAAGGGCTGATGCCGATACGGAGCCGCGGAGTACTCAACAGGTTACCGGGGCTCCGGCTCGAATTGTAGGAGTAAGAACAGGGTGGTGTTTAGTCAGTAAGAGTCTGACACTCCCTTCCGCCTCACCCAAGGCGGAAGAAGCCATTGGCAGACATTTCCTTCTTAAAAAAAATAAGCACGAAGGTTTTACAAACGGTTTTAATACTGATTTTTTTTAAAGGGGGAACATCATCGAATGACTTCTCCCGCCTCGGTGAGCCGGAGTGTGCTCCTGCAAAGAGCCGCTAAAATTTGATATTAAAGTCTTGAATTTTATAATTAATTTTTACGATGGAGATATCGGCGAACAACATAATAAATCATATATACGGTCGAATTGAGAACCTCCTCTTTTTTTAAAGAGTTTGAAGTTTAAAATTTACAAAATATTCTATACTTACAACAAAGGAATCCTTGAAAGTCTTGATATCGGAGAAGAACTCCTCGAGCGTGTATTTCTGGGGGTCGAACACGTAATACTCCGCGAGCTCGGTGTACAACGCTTCCATCTTCTTGAACATCGAGTGCAGGAGGTCGCACTGTTCTCGAGATTCCGTTGCGAACAACTGGAGAATGGTTGTCAAGGATATTTTTGTCTCATGTCATACTTATCTATACATAATAATTTAATTATAATAATTATACGCGGCGACTGTCGCGCTGCTACTGGAGTAGCGCCGCGGGTCGCGAAATGCTGCTCATGAATATGAGCCTCTAGCATGGCTTGAAACTAGTCGAGTTCCTCGTCAAATTACTACGTGAATAAGCCGAAAACATAATCATTTATTTACTATTGCCGGAATACTGAAACGTTACTCAATTTTAAGTCGTGCTCAAATATCGTGCCATCTCTGTCATTTTACAAAGAATTTGTAGAGATAGAACTATACTTAAGCACGACTTAAAATTGAGTAGCGTTTCGGTATTCCGACGTAATGTCTCACGAAAGTTACAATACTTATCTATACATATAATAAAATCGTAGAAAATTCAAAACTGTACATTGAATATTTTTTTAAATAATACTTGTGGGGCGTGTGGTACAGTCGATACTGACGCCAAAAATATGGTGTTTACAATTTTTGTCTGTTTGTCTGTATACCTCTTTCCGTTACTCTACTTTCATCCATTCTTTCAACATGTCCAAAATATCGTAACATTCCCTGTTCAATCCTTTTCACACTTTTCTCTAATAACACTATTTTTCACTCGACCACTCAATTTAACTCAATAGGATTCGTAAACTATTGGAGCGATTTAAAAATTTAAGTCATTACTATCTCCCATACGGTTTCACCTGCTGCTCGCCTACTATCGATCGTACCTTGATGTTTTATAGTCAACCAAATTTAATTAATTAATTGAAACTACTACAAATATTATTCGACCAGGAACATTATCAGTTCGATTAACAGCTACTATAATTGCAGGTCATTTATTAATGACTGCCTCGTTGGCCGAGTGGTCGCAAGTGCGACTGCCGGGCAAGGGGTCTCGGGTTCGATTCCCGGGTCGGGCAAAGTATTACAGGGTTTTAAAAAAATTCTCAGTAGTAGCACGGAGTCTGGAACTGTGCCCGGTATATGGCAATAGGCTCACCCCCTATTACATGGGACTCATAACATAAATAGTGAAAAGTGGGTGTTACATTGTAAAGTGGCATAATGTGCACCTCTGCCTACCCCTTCGGGGATAAAAGGCGTGATGTTGTGTGTGTTATTAATAACATTATTAAGAGGACCTGGACCTTCTATACCAAATTATTTCATTATAATTTTAATTACAATTCAAATTTTACAACCATCCTCGATAAATTCACTATCCAACACAAAAATAATCATTCATTTCAAAATAGTACTTTCTGAGATTACCGCGTATAAACCAATAAACCAACTCTTCAGTTTTATAACATGAAAGTTAACATGGATTTCTTTCAAAATTTTATTTTTAGTAAAGGATACGCTCATGGAGTCGTTGAATAGGTCGTCTGGACACTGCGGCACCCTGGAGTTGTTGAGATCCATCTCCAACGCTTTGATGTCATTCTCCATCTTCTTCAGAGCTTTCTGGAGATTCTCCATTGATACTCGGGCCGCTCTGTAGGTGAAAGAAAATGTGGAGATAAAGAAGCAGTATTCATATGAATGAATTAGTTTTTTATTATTATTACTAGCTTCTGCCCGCGACTTCGTACGCGCAATCCCGTTTCTCCCGTTCCCGTAGGATTTTCAGGACTTTTTTCTGTCATAAGAACCATCTCCCGACGATAACAAAGACAATAATAAAAAATCAGGCAAATCGGTCTAGCCGTTCTCAAGTTATGGCGTGACAACGGGAAACGGGTTTCAATTTAGATTATATAGATTAAGGACTAATTATTATTCAGGTAAAATTTAGTAATTGGAATTCCACCCCCTTTCTGACGACAGATCGATCTCATATTTGGTACACACTCTTAATATAATGACCATACAATATTATCTAATGTTTCCACAACTCCCTCCATTATCGATATCAAACGAAATTACGTTTGCTCCATTACTGTTAAACAATGGGTGGACTTAATGCTAGATGTATGTTACGCTGTGTTATGTTATGCTGTGTTATGCTACGCTATCCTGCGCTGCATCGAAACCTACCAATGAAAAGTAGCAATGTGACTATTGTACTTTCTAAGATTATTTAGACATAACTGACAAACGATGAAGGAAAACATCGTGAGGAAACCTGGGCTTATATTTTCTAATTATAAGTTTGAAATCGCCAACCCGCATTGAGCAAGCGTTGTGATTAATGCTCAAACCTTCTCTATGCGAAAAGAAGCCTTTACTCAGCAGTGGCCACTTATAAGCTGTGTTAGTTGATGATGATGATCCTACGCTATATTATGCTACGCTACGCTGCATTATTATGCTATGCTGTAATATGCTGTTATGCTACACTGTATTATGCTATGCTTTGTGATATGATGTTATAGATCTTACCTGTCTATGTGTGGCATTTCCTCTGCGAACGTAAGTACTTCCGGGAACTTATTCTCTATGGTCTCTACTAAGTAATGTAGTAATGTTTGTTTGTTTTCTAAATCTTTTGTTGCTGTTAACTGTGAAACAAAGAATTATTTTGTTATTATTTAATATCATTTACTAGGTCATGAAGTAACTGCCTTTGAATTAAATTAAAGAAATTATTAAGAACGTCTTTGTTGAAATGAAAAAAATGGTTAGTCAAAGTCTAATTGTTTATTCCAATTAGATTTTAGACACAGAGTCGTATTATCTCTAAGGCAAACCAGGCAAGTGCCGGGCGCCAGGTTACAGAGGGGCGCTGCGACACTCGTGTGCACAACGTATCGGCATCGGCCCTGTTGGGCCCCATCCGTGGTAGTCTGATGGCTCTTTGAGGCGCGCGCGGAATGCGACATGGCGTACGCATGGTATGAGGTGCTTACCTAAGGCGCTTTCTAGCCTTTAGTCCACATTTCTTTGGACAAACAAAATAACAAGTAAAAATGACTTACCTTAGTCAAGAAGCTAATTTCAAATCCATATGCACCAGCGTTATTGGAGCCCGAGTTCATATAGTTCCCTAATAGTAGCAGGAGCTCAAGTATTTTGGCGAACTTCTCTGAGGATTTCACCTCTTCACAGGCCGCTGTGCCTGACACTATGTCCTGGAGAAAAAGAAATATTATTTGTTTTATAAATAGCATATTTTGTTATATGTATTAATATCGAAATCAAGGCATTTATTTCATAACATAACATCACGCCTTTTCTCCCCGAAGGGGTAGGCAGAGGTGCACATTATGCCACTGTACAATGTAACACCCGCTTTTCACTATTTAAGTTATAAGTCTCATATAATCAGGGTGAGCCAATTGCCATATATTGGGCACAATTTCATAATTTTTAAAAAACCCACTAATACTTTATCCGACTCTGGAATCGAACCCGAGACCGACCACTCGGACAACGAGGCAGTTGATCGAGTCATTTTATTTAACTCGTTGAGTATCGTCATTATAGACACAATTATAGAACAATAGGTTGCGGTCACCGGTGTCCTCGCGGTGTTTGACAGTTTAATCCTTAATTATGCACTTTGTAAATGTTAGTAATTTTGAGCGTCTACCACTCTCACGACACACAACGCTGTGGTTGTATCGCTGTGGTGTACAGCTCGCTGGAGGTATCACTCCGGGCGAGCCGACACAGCGAGGCGGAAGCATGGCTCCACAAAACTTAACCCACTATCTCGCGTGGTGGTGCACGATGATGCGGTCTCCGAAGGAGCACGTCGTCCCATAAGCAACCTATTCACTCAGGCCTTGAAGACACCCAGGTTACAAGGTTATACCCTTCAGGAAACACAGACTCTGGCAAAGAATTCCACTCCTTAGCAGTACGCACAAGGAAGCTGGATGCGAAGCGCTTCAACGATGACTGACTTGATGACTTTTGTGATGACTTCAATAGGGCAGATGCCTAATTTTTATTTTAATGTCCGTCTGGTAGATTACTTTAAATCATTAGACACGTATTTTTTATTTTCTTACAGAAACGAATACTTTCGACGACATATTGATTTGAAATGTCGCGTGACGTCACTTCTATGTACGTTTTATACGTAGAAATGACGTTTTAGCCCCCACTCCTAAACTTTAATTTTATCTAAGTATTGTTTTATTATACGACAATATAAAAAAATACGTGTCTAATATTTTTTAATTACCTAACTTACGGACTAATTAGATTTTTAATTTTCATACCCTGTCATCATCCTAATTGATCAAGTAAACACAATAAAATACCAATACATACCGGCTTAACTTCGGATATGATTTCAGGATAATGCTCCCTAAAGGCTAGACTCCTAAGTCTTGGTACCAGTCGCTTAATATCAGCCACCGTCGCAGCGAACTGTTCAGCTTCAGTCAACTCCTCACTGTTCACCTTCAATTCTGCTAGCTTCTTCAATTGGTCCGCTGGTGGTAGGTACTGAAATATTTGTAAATAGAATTGGTTTTTGAATGTTTATGGGCCCTGGTATGAGGTCGAAAGTAGTCGGATAGGTTTGTAATGCAGGAATACTGAAACGTTACTCAATTTTAAGTCGTGCTTAAATATCGTGCCATCTCTGTCATTTTACAAAGAATATGTAGTGACAGAACTATACTTAAGCACGACTTAAAATTGAGTAGCGTTTGAGTATTCCGACTTAAGTTGTTAAAAATATTGACGTCGATTGTTGATGTTGACAAGTGTAATTATTGCGTTCGATTCCGCATCGGGAAAAGTATTTAATTTTCATTTCATACAATAAATATTATATAAATATATTTTTTTATATTAATATATACCTCTATAAATACTACTATTTAAAAATGTAACTTTAGGGGATTTTTAAATAAATATAATGGAATTATAATAATAAAATTGTAACAACATTGTGAACTTTCATAACTAAAGTTCCATCAACTTTACGACTTTGCCGACTTTTCCGATTTACCCCGATCCCACCGACTTTTCCGACTTCCTCCAAATTTACCGACTTCCCCGACTCACCTGTATTAACAAATCCAGTACGTTAGCGGTGAGCACGGTCGTATCACATCGTAGTATGCAGGTTCGAATATGTTCATAGGACATATGTTTTAATGAACCGCCTAGTAGGATCGATAGGTTCTGAGCCGCTTTGCTGTCTAGCACCTTCAGGTCTTTGACTTTCTTCAGCGTGTGGACCCTGGAAGCATATCTTTGGATTTATGGATGTTAGTTTTTGGATGATTGATGATTGTTGAAAGTGGAACTATTTATTTTTAGAAATTTAGATGCTGCCTCGTTGGCCGAGTGGTCGCAAGTGCGACTGCCGGTCAAGGGGTTTCGGGTTCGATTCCCGGGTAGGGCAAAGTATTACTGGGTTTTAAAAAAAATCTCAGTAGTAGCACGGAGTCTGGAAATGTGCCCGGTATATGGTAGGCTCACTCCCTATTACATGAGACTCATAACATAAATAGTGAAAAGTGGGTGTTACTTCTATGTGCACCTCTGCCTACCCCTTCGGAGATAATAGGCGTGATGTTATGTTATGATTTAAATAAATAGGACTCACTTATCAACCGCATCTTCGCTCTTCTTAGCGACAGGTTTACTCGAGAATTTGAGCGCCAACCCAGTCAATATGTCGGGAGACGCTAGCTTATCTTCTTGTACCTGTAATATAAATAAACATACATAATTATTATAGTCACCCCCTATTACATGGGACTCATAACATAAATAGTGAAAAGTGGGTGTTACATTGTACAATGGCATTAAGTGCTGTAATGTACACCTCTGCCTACCCCTTCAGGGATAAAAGGGGTAATGTTATGATGATTGATGATGAATGATTATAGTAAACGATTTATTTTAGTCTTATACTAACGATGGAGTAAAATACATTTGTGACGCTACTATTCCCGTGGGTATAGCAAGAGCTCACTAAGAGAATACACGACACTTGTTAAACCACTCGGCTTCCCATCGCTATCGCCGACCATTCGCCGCTTTAATGAGGCTAAAGCCGGCGGCCATGATAGCTCGCGAGCAAGCATCACGCGTCGATTACGCCCCACCACTCCACCATCAAGCGCGCTCGCGATCGGACGCAAATAACAATTATTTTATAATACACTGGCTGGCCCGGCAACTTCGTTTCGTCTAAAAATTATTTTCTCACCTTTTAAACCTTCCCTGGACTTCCATGGACATTTCAAGACCATGAAAGTCCAGAAAATTAGCCAAATCGGTTCAGTCGTTCTCTAATTTTAGCAAGACTAACGAACGGAAATTCATTTTTATTTATATAGATAACTTGAATTCTTGATTAAACTCGGTAAAGTCTATTCCGTCTCTTTCGGCCGAGCAGAAAACTATAGTGAAACAAAACTTGCGATCTGTTTCGTCGTGTGAGTGAGGTTACCGGAGGCCCAATTCAATTCCAAAAATCACTGAATCAGCAACAATCCTCTAATTGCTAATCCCCAAAAGGCCGGTAGCACACTTGTAACGCTTCTAGTGTTCCAGGTGTCCATGGGCGACGCAGATTGCTTACCATCAGGTGATCCGTCTGCTCGTTTACCGGCTTATTCCACAAAAAAAGGAGTCGCCACTCTCTTAGGCCCCCCGTAGAAGAGTAGGAGTAGTGTCCTCTACTCTGCTGAGTGCTTATAACCGCTAAAATGTGCATCAAACTCCTTACCTTGACCCAGAATGCCTTCTCGGACATCTTCTGCGGCACTATAGTCTTCCAGTTGGCACGTTTCAGTGGTCCCTCGACTTCCCACTTCTTCTTAGGTTTCAGGCCGTGCGGTAACACGTCTGGTACCGGCTGAAAAGACATTGTAGGACGATTTTTATGAGGTTTTATTTAGGTATTGTCCAACTTTTGAAACATTATTGAAATACCAGCTGTTGCCCGCGATTTGTTTACATAAACAAGAACATAACTTTTTTTTGTTTCATTTTTCAACATAAAAGTAGCCTATGTTACTCCTTAGTACATCAGCTACCTGCAAATAAAAGTCTTGCAAAATCAGCCTAGTCATTCCAGAGTTTAGCCAGTACAGACATACAGACAGACAAAAATTGTGAAAAATGTTATTGTATAGGTACTCACCATTCTAGGCATAAACCCTCCAGGCGGTGGTGGTGGTCGGGGCCCTCCCATCATGGGCGGAGGGGGTGGCGGGCCCCCCATACCCGGCATCGGGGGCGGTGGGGGTCCACGCGGCCCGCCAGGCATTGGAGGCGGTGGCGGTGGGGGTGGACCTCCTCCTGCTGAGGATAGGAAATACATAAATGAAAAGGACATTTCTGGTTCCGGAATTGTACATCATCCAATGACTTCTCCCGCCTGGGTGAAGCGGGAGGGAGTGTCAGACTCTTACTGACTAAACACCACCCCATTCCTACTCCTGCTTTGACCCCAGCTTGCTGCAACCCTAGTGAAGACGAGACCCCTTTTTTGTCCCCCCACACATTTCGTGTCGGATCCTATTAGAAACCATACGTTTCACATGTAAGACTGCCTAAAGAATAGGATAGTTTCCAGGGTATCAAAATTAAAAATCTAATTAGTCCATCAGTTAGATTATGAAAAATATTAGACACGTATTTTTTTATTTTCTCGTATTAACTTGCTATACTTAGATAAAAATGCCGCTAAGTTTAGGAGTGGGAGGTCGTTACGTCACAACGTGCTACAAAATGTGGCACGCTGTGACGTCACACGATATTTCAAATTAATATATCGTCGAAAGTATTTAATTTTGTGAGAAAAGAAAAATACGTGTCTAAAGTTTTAAATTAATGTACCAGACATGAATGACATTAAAATAACATTTAGAAAACTACCCTATTGTCTATCTCTGAATCATTCATGACACACAACTACTTAAATACTGTTGACGGCGAGCCCACATACGCATACGGCAGTACGGCGGGCAAGAGAGGGACGAGAGGCGAGCGGGAGAACGCGGGGAACCTGCGGGCATTGCGCCACCGCGGCACTCACGCGAACTAGTCGGCGGACTAACCGCTTGCGTTTTTGCGTGACATTATTCATTAATTAATTTTTGTAAACCCAAGGGATTCAACTCTCATAATTTCTAATTTCTTTATAATTGAAGAGTACCCGCAACTTCACCTCTTTGTGAGCAATAATAATAATATAGAAGTTCTACAAATACAATACAATCTAGAAACCCAACACCATATGACTTAATTAAAATATACATACACAATTACACAATACCATTCCATTATCCAGATTAAAACATGTAATACACACACAATTCCATAAACCTGTGGTACTAAATTTCAATTAATAACTACAATGAAGGCTACTATTTTATCTTAGAAAACTAAGCATAAACCAAAATTTTAATTATACTTATTTATACGACTACCGAAAATAATGCAAATTCTCTATATTTTTCAACAATTCATTTATTATGTACACTACAAACTTCAACTACGGTCAAGCTCGAAACTTATCGGGCTACCTCGAAAATATACGATACTCTACTGAAAATAAAAATACTGAAAAAGACATACAATTATTGGTCTTCTTTATGCAGGACATAGAATTATAACGTCTTTGATATCTTGGTTTATTATCTGAGAATAAATAAAAAATGTAAACCTAACCACCCTTAAACCATCTCACTACTAAGAGTTACTTAGCGTAAAGGAGCATGTAATATAACCCCTTACTTGTGTCAGCTGTAGCTAAATGCAATTTAGCGCTTGTCTACGGTATATGGAATTGACGTAAATTTTGACACTTGTCAGTGTCATCCCCATATATTTTTGATTCTACTCTCCCTGTAGACAAGCGCTAAAGTGGCATTTGGCTAAAGGTCCTGGTAAACCAAAATGGCGTTAAGTGTCACCCGCCTTAACTTGAGAGGTCCCTTAAAGTTTAGAAGAGACTGGTACCCGTTTCACAACTCTCATTGAAGTACCCGATGGTTTCATCGGGTACTTCAATGTTTATGAATAACATATTTCATACTAATATTCTTTATTTTGTAGCCATGAACCTATTATCACAAATGGACCTTATTTATATGCGCTTTAAGGTTAAACTTCCCATACACAACAGTTACAAATGTGTAAGTACAATGAGGGTCAGATTCGCCTGATCACTACTAAGTTAATGTTTAGGGTTCAAGTATAACATTTGAAAATGATAAAGAGGATCTGTCCTCCACTGTACATCACACAGTCTGGAGACATTGGTTGGCTTCTACATTAAGCAATAATATCTTTTCACAAACAAAACCAGAGCAAAATGAACCCTAAACCCATGTGACAAGTGCTACATTCATGCGGACGTACCTGAAGGCATAGGGGGCGGTGGAGGAGCGCCAGAGGTGACTAGAAAACATACCGATACCCGTTAAAGAAACATGCTTGAAGATAATCATGCTTATATAGACATGCAGATTATATTAAAATAACTTATTATTATGTAAGATGAGACTTCGTTCACGTAGAAAAATAAGAGCACAATGGCAGTTTTCCTTGCTCCATCTACGCTTGATAATAAACTGAAGATTTGTTAGTTTGGTGAAACGCTATTATCTCAGTAAAAATATTATGAAACCGAAGTCATTCGTTTACAATATCAAAGTCTATAGTCAGAATTTTAATTAGATTCCAGATTTGACAATAGCTACTGTCATTTTGTGAAATAATGATACCACATATAAAAGTGTAGTGATGAACACAAAAATCGATTAACAATCAGTATGTGTGTTTTATAATAAATGTTACAGAAAGTGACAGGATAGCGATAGCGATGACGGCGACAATTTATAAAATAACTTATTACCATAATACATCTATCTGTATTATGTGTCATGGTCCTTCATGATTACATTTTTATTTATTTCACACACAATAATAAAATAAAAGTCTCAGATCGTTAATAAATCGTCAAAACTAAATTATCGGTTTAGAAATATTTAATTTCCTGATATACTTCGTTTACGAGAGTAAAATTATAAACGAGAAGAATCGATCCAGAAATATTGCATTTCCATATCGAATAATTTCGCAACGTCACTATTTAGTACTTGTCATAACGTTGCAACACTGAAATAGTCAAATCTGGAATCGAATTAAAATTCCGAGTATACGTGAACGAAGTCACACGTTTAGAAGTCATCGATTTACTCCGAAAACAAAGTATGTCTGAGTGAGTCTGTTATTTAGAAGTCATTCATTTATTATATGTATACAAGCTTACACGAACGCAGTTCCACGATTAGAAGTCATTCGTATACAATACATAAGTCTACGAAAACCAAGTCACATACAAGAAGTCATCTATTTACAATAAACAAGTCTACGTTAACGAAATCTGCTATTTAGAAGTCACCGGTTTACAATACGCAAGTCTACACGATCACGAAACCACAAGTCTAATAGTAAACGATCTATAACTTGGAAATCTTCGTAAACAAAGTCACACATTTAGAAATCATTCGTTTACAACATAAAAGTTTACATCACCGTAGTCACAAGTACGAAGTCATCCATTTACATTACACAAGTCTACGATCAAGAAGTCAACTATTTAGAAGTCAGTTATATATAAATAAAATAAATAGAAGTTATAGGAACAAACCTGACATCGGCATAGGCGGCGGCGGCGGTGCACAGGGTCCTAAAACACCACACCAGAAAGAGACAGGTATAGTAACATGCAGTGTGTGCGAGAGAGACAGAGCATTCGTGATTGTATTTAATGTATGATTTTTTTAACTGTTATGGGTTGTGTCTGGATTTGTAACATATAAGTCATTATTGTAGAGCAGAAAATATTTTTAAACGACTTCAAACAAAGGACGAGGTTCTCAATTCGACCGTATATATGTTTTTTATGTTTGTTAGCCGATATCTCCGTTATTTATGAACCGATTTCAATAATTCTTTTTTTGTTGGAAAGGAGATAGTCCCAGAATGGTCCCATAATAAGGAAATCAGAATCTGATGGTGGAAGACCAGGGAAACCGAGAGGAAATTTTAGAAATTATTAGCACATCTATTCTTGCCGTGGGCATCATCATACTCGGTTAACCTCTAGTCTGTCGATATATGAGACACAATAGAAAACACCATGGTGTCTCGCGTAGATTTGCGTTCCGGCAAACAAGAGGTTAAAGCTACTCTCCACGACGCGTCATTTGACGAACACACACAACTTACAAATGACGATACGCAGCCGACAAATGACAAATATTTTCTCTTTGCTTAGAAACAACGAAAACTGTCCACGAAGCGGCAATTATAATGTTGCATTCATCCGTCAAATGAAGCGTCGTTGACAGTAGGATTAAGGAACAACACATTTGACAGAGACTGGGCAGTAGAGCTCTCTGATAAACCTGAATCTTATAACACTGCAATCTTCAAACAGAGATTATGGCAAACCCCTCTTCTATATAAGAGGGGTTGATAGTCCTTTTTTAAGGGGGGAAAATCATCAAATAACTTCTCTCGCCTGGGTGACTCTTACTGACTAATAATATAACCATCCTGTTCCTACTCCTACACTTCGAGCCGGAGCCCCGGTAACCCGTTAAGTTCTCCACGGCTCCGTATCGGCATCAGCCCTATTGGGCCCCATCCATGGTGGTCTGATGGCTCTTTGAGGCGTACGCGGAACGCGGGCGCCGTACGCTCGGGTCTGGTTCTGGTCGGGCGGCGAACTACTCATGCTCGCCGCCCGCAGTCCCTCGCTTACAGTGACCGGAGATCGTGAGGCTGATAGTCTAGCAGTGGACTTTCACGAGGTGTTATTGATGATGATATATCCAGACATAATCCATAAACAGTATTATATTATAACATTCCAGTGAAGATATGTTATAAAAAGTTAAAAGTGATTTTGTTTACATAATATAAATATTGTAGTACTCAATCCGATCCCGTGTACGGTCAAAGGTCAAAAGTCCATCCTGCCATCGTACCACCGGTATACGCGCATATTTTTACCCGTGTGCGTACGCGTGCGTGTGTTTATGCGTACGCACACATGTTTATGCACAATAATACGAAATTACTTACGCGTTGCCGTGTGAACATCAGTCACGGTGGCAGTGGACTTTTGACCTTTGACTGTACATGTTTAGGTGCCAAAATTACATTAGACAACTTATATAAGTGACAGATAAACATGTTATTAAGTTAAAGACTAGTTTTCACCAGTCTGTACCGCTAACTAGAGATAGGCTTTAGACATACGCTCCATACAAAATGTATCCAAATTCTCTCTGTACTGAACCAATCTTTAATTTTTCGCTTGTATACCATAATTTGACAACGTTAACATACAGAATAATAAAGTTACGTGTTAGCCACACCAATATATCTATCTACATAAATAAAATTGAATTTCCGTTCGTTAGTCTCGCTAAAACCCGTGAACTGCTGAACCGATTCCGTTAATATTGGTCTCGGAATGTTCATGGAACTCCAAAGGTGTAAAAGGTGACATATCGACAAAAATTGTACTCCAATATAAGTATAGTCTACTTCCAACTACATAATTGTATCAAACGAGAGTTTTATAACACGTGTCATAGAATTATAACACTCACCTCCGGGCATCGGCGGCGGGGGCGGTGGTGGAGGTCCGCCGGGACTCGATATTACCTGGAAATAATAACATTATCATTTTATTTAACGACTGCCTCGTTGGCCGAGTGGTCGCAAATGCAACTCGGCTAGGGTCTCGCAGGCAGCGCTCTCTATCTCTTAAAACACCTAGGTGACCTTAATGCCATCACCAAGGTAATTTCCAAGTATGGGGTTTAAGGAAACCCTCTTCCCTCTTAATATATTACTGCAAACCTTTCTTTTAAACTATTTGTGCGACCTAAATGCGATTCCCAATCGATCGCCAAATGTTGGGATTTATTTATTTATTTAAATAGGTATACCAACAGCTTCTGTATACATAGAATTAAGTGGTATTGAAAGTAACAGTAAGTATTAGGCTTATACAGTCGCCAATTATAGGTTAACCAACATTTAACCTATAATGGCGTAACCTAAAAATGGGATTATAGCAAAAACATATCTTACTTTGGCGATGGCAGCGATGTTATTATGCGTGACCCCCCCGGGTCCTGTGTTGGGTGCGGCCTTGAGTCTCTCCTCTAGATGGGCGGCACGTGCCTCGGCTTCTTGTCGAGCCGCTATAGCGGCTTCTAACTTAGATTTTAATTCTTCTACTCGCCTTTCTTCTTCGGCTCGGGATTTTTCTGAAGAAAGCAGAAAAAGAAAATTAGTTCTATGTCCCCGACGTTGTTGGTATGTACGGCTCGACCGGAATGATGATACCACGGCCTCATAGAAAACAGACGTGAAACAACGATTGCGTTGTGTTTCGTCGTGTGAGTGAGGTTACTGGAGGCCCAAGAGAAGAGGGTAACCCTTCCCTAGTCTCCCCAATCCCCGAATCCCCCACAATCCTCATACTCCTAATCCACAAATGGCCGGTAATGCACTTGTAACGCGTCTGGTGTTCCAGGTGTCCATGGGCGACGTCGATTGATTACCATCAAGGTGATCCGTCTGCTCGTTAACCGGAGTATCTTATAAAAAGTAATCGTCACCGTCCATGGACACTTGGAACACCACAAGTGCGTTACCAGCCTTTTGGAAATGAAGAATTTAAGGATTGTTGGGGATTCAGAGATTGGGCAAGAGGGGGGGGGGGTGATTGGTCTTTGGTCCCCACTCGCACAACTAAACACAACGCTGTGATTGTTGCACTATGGTTTTCTGCTCGCCCGTGGTATCACTCCAGTCGAAATGACCCAGCAGTGCCGAAGCATGGCTCTCCCACAAATAATTTAGTAAGTAATGGTCCCAACACGCTATTGTACTATATACTATAAGAGTAACAACTGTCACAAAGATACTGTGTATCATACTTTGGTGTGTGAACTCGACGTGTGCCATGTTCGTCTAATTTAAATGTAAAGTAATAAATGCGTTTAATCATTTGTCTATCAACATAATACTACTAGTTAGTACTAATCTAAGCATAGTATAAAAATCGACAGCGAAACTCGATCCCGATGCGATCTCAACTCAAGTTCACAAGATTATGAGCCCCGGTGCGCCTCGAAACTAATCGAGCAGTCTCGAAAATTTACAAAAGTTAATTTTATACATGTAATATTTATTTATATTAATTATAGTTGTTATATAATCGTTTTAATAAGGTTTTATAAATGGGCCGTCGGTAGAGGGCGCCCTAGACGAACATATAGTGACCAGATTGGCGATATGTCAAAGAAGGGCCAAATTAAAAGTACCCTTAACCGACGAGCATGCATGAAAAGATTGATGACTGTTGATGAAGCGAAAGAGGTATGTAGGAATCTTACCCATTGACGTTTAATAGTCTCTGCCTATCCCCATGGGAGACAGGCGTAAAGTTATGTATGTATGTATGTATGTAATAAGTTGTACATACCAATAAGTCCATCAATGAGTGGTTGAACGTCTATATTGAATCGCTGCGTCGCTCTAAAGTCCGGGTCGTAGCCGTTCTTGTGGAGAACTATCTGCGTTATACATTCTTCTACCAACTTGTAGTATGCTGGCCTGGAATACAAATAGATTGTCATTAATAAATCAACATAACATAACATCACGCCTTTTATCCCCGAAGGGGTAGACAGAGGTGCACATTATACCATTGTACAATGTAACACCCACTTTTCACTATTTATGTTATGAGTCCCATGTAACAGGGGGTGAGCCTATTGCCATATACCGGGCACAATTCCAGACTCTGTGCTACTACTGAGATTTTTAAAAACCCAGTAATAGTTTGCCCGACCCGGGAATCGAACCCGAGACCTCTTGACCAGCAGTCGCACTTACGCCCACTCGGCCAACGAGGCAGTCAACTATAATAATTTTTTACACACACGACAATATCACGCCTATTATACCCGAAGAGGTAGACAGGGATGCACATTTCGGCACTTAGGGCCGAAACACATAACTGAGTTGCGTCGGCGCAACGCTAAAGTCGGCAGTTTGCGTTACGGCGTTGCGGCGTCGTGAAAAAGAGCGTTTTATTGTCGTCTGGTAGGGTAACCAGTTCGTCGTGATTTTTTATTGTAGATAGACGTGTCTCTGCCATGGACCATCGTGAAAAACTTATTGCTTATTTGTTATTAAGAAGACATTACTCTGCTTCATACCCTGTCATCATCCCAATTAGGGACCTGTAGACCAACAACGGACTCTTATGTGCTGTTGAAATATGTATGTTTGTATGTATGTACTTTTACCTGATAAGCTCATCATCTCTGATGTATAGCAGATGTTGTAATATGGAGAGTAAGTATGGCTCGGCTGGAGTGTCCATCACCAAGTTCTTTACTAACTCGAAACACTCATTCACGTCGTTGAAGTCCACTCTGAAAACGGATAAATTATGTATGATTATTGATAACATAACATTACGCCTTTTAATCCCCGAAGAGATAAGCAGAGGCGCACAATATGGTATTTAATGCCACTGTACAATGTAACACCCACTTTTCACTATTTATGTTATGAGTCCCATGTAATAGGGGGTGAGCCTATTGCCATATACCGGGTGCAATTCTAAACTGCGTGCTACTACTGACATTTTTTTTAAAAACCCAGTAATGCTTTGCCCCAACGGGATTCGAACCAGACCCCTTGCCCGGCAGTCTTGCGACCACTCGGCCAACGAGGCAGTCATTATTGATGGTTTACTGATAGCTAATAGCTGCACCACAGAAATTGACATACATACAATATGAATTTAGGAAAAATTCCGATACCAAACAGGGATCACTATTCAAGATATTAAGTGTGTGAGAGCCATGCTTCGGCCTCGTTGTGTCGGCTCGACCAGAGCGATACCTCGACCCGCCGTACACCGTGACGTGTGTCGCCGTGTGTCCGGCGGGGTGTGTACTCGTGGGAGGGACGGTAAAGAAGAGCCAATAACACCCCCCCCCCCAATCTCTGAATCCCCAACAACCCTCAAATTCCTAATCCCAAAAGGCCGGTAACGCACTTGTAACGCCTCTGGTGTTCCAGGTGTCCATGGGCGACGTCGATTGCTTACCATCAGGTGATCTGTCTGCTCGTTTACCGGCTTATGCCATTAAAACAACGGAGTAATTTCTTTTGGTAAGAAAACGATTGGTCTTGTGTATCCTAAGATTGAATCCAGTAGAGGTCATCTATAAATAACGTCACAACTTAAGGGGGGAGGGAGGGAGTCGACGAATTTGCTAAGAAAACGATTGGTCTTGTGTACCCTAAGATTGAATCCAGTAGAGGCCATCTATAAATAACGTCACAACTTAAGGGGGGAGGGAGGGGGTCGACGAATTTGCTAAGAAAACGATTGGTATTGTCTATCCTAAGATTGAATCCAGTAAGGTCCATCTATAAATTACGTCACAACTTAAGGGGGGAGGGAGGGGGTCGACGAATCGTACCATTGTGACAAGGGGGACGGAGGGATCAAAAACTTTGTGATGTCACATTTAAAAAACTATTATAACCTGCGTTAAAATACGAAATATAATAGTACCTATTAATGTTTTTATTTTGTTAATTGTTAGATTTGACATTAATATTTTTTTAAAGCAATTGAAGTGGAAATAACAATAACAATAGTTTCTATACTGTAATTCTGCAAAAAGTGACGTCACACTAGGGGGGGGAGTCTCATAAATGTGACTAGCTGTGACAAGGACGGGGGAGGGGCAAAAAAATCATGAAATTCTTATGACGTAATTTATGGATGACCCCGTAGTATTTAGTATTTTTATGGCATAGCATAATGAGAAACACGAGCAGACGGATTACCTGATGGTAAGCAATCCTATTTATTATCAGAATATAATTATTATAGTAAGATGTATGATTAATTTATTTATATTAATTACAACGGTTACACCAATGACAGCAATTAATTAATTTGTTATAAGACCATTATATCAATAATACAAATACACATTAAAATCCATGTCAACATTAAAAGAAAGATCTATATATATAAAACAAAGTCGTGTTAGTTACACTATTTATAACTCAAGAACGGCTATATCGATTTGGATAAAAATTGGTGAGGAGGTAGGTTAGCACCAGGAGACGGACATAGGATACTTTTTACCCAATACTTTTTTTTACTTTTTACCAAAAATCAAGAACGGGAACGGGAAATATTGGGATTGCGCGTACGAAGTCGCGGGCAAAAGCTAGTAATAAAATAAAATAAAATTCAACTTCATGTCAGAACCTAAACCATATGAAATGTCAAGACTAACAGAAAATATCATAATGTCAAACTTGTCAGACTCAAAGTACCCACAAAACATTTGAAAAAAAAAAAGAACAGTAATAATAATTATATGATAAATTACCGGACATCGTCGAACTTGGCTAGGAACTCGTCCTGGTCGGCGGCGGCGTGCGTGTCGAATACATTCATTTGAATCTGACGCGCGCCCTCCGCTCCTGTCCGAAGTTCGTCTGTAAAAGACATTTTTTTATTTAACATTTAACATTGCCACTAGGATTTTTGCCTGTGTCGTAGATGTATTTACAAACATACAAGTTCACTCATACATTAATTTGTAGATCATACAGAATTTTTCCGTTCACAAGTCACAGAACTGTCCAAAAAATATGTTGCCTAGTCCTGGTACCGAACCCACGATCTTTGCTCGGCAGTCGCCAGTCAAAGCCACCTTTTTGGGCTTATTAACGTTTTTATCCTCACTAGATAGGGCCATTGTGACGTGAAGACTTATCTGTCCTATAACTATTTGACGATAGGAAATTCTCTATTAAACAAACAGGATCTCATTACAATAAAAAAACTAGATTTCAATTTTCTCATTAACAAAAAATTAACTCGCGGAACAGATAACAAAGTAAAATGAACCTTACCGATTTAGTCATAGAGTCCATTCGGTTACATTTATCTCTCAAAAACAAATGCCAAAATTGGAACTGTACATTTAACCTTAACTGTCCACTTACAGAGTCCATTTACAACTCTTATTAAAAAAAACAAAATGAACTTTATTTATCTAGTCATGGAGTCTCTATTACCTAATATTCATCAAAACCAAATGACAAAGTAAAATGAACCTTAATGATCTAAACATACAGTCCAGTCACTAACATTTACCTCTCACTATAAGCAACAAGGTACAGAGTCCATTCATTAATATATATCTTTTTTAATAAATGACTAAGTAAAGTGAACCTTAACGGTCTAATCATACAGTCCAGCCACGAACATTTATCTTTCATAATAAATGCCACAGTAAAATGAACCTTACCGATCCAGTCATAGAGTCCAGTCCTCATGAATTCGCTGCGGAGATGTAACCGAAACTCCAACTCTTCAGGTTCCGTGATTATCGCGTTCATAAGTTGCATGCAGCCCGTCTGAAATGATTGAGGGAATTTAAACCTAATTATCTATGCTTATAGAGTTTAATATTACATAGATTACAAATTCAGTTGTAAATATTACTGAAAATCTATACAAATATTATTATTATAAATACGAGAGTAAGTAGGTATATTTTTCACCTCTATGTATTTTTGAAAGGGGGAAAATCATCGAATGACTTGAAAACCATCACCGCCTCACCGAGGCGGGAGGGAGACTCTTACTGACTAAAAGCCACCCCGTTCCTACTCCTGCACTTCGAGCCGGAGCCCCGGCAACCCGTTAAGTTCTCCGCGGCTCCGTGTCGGCATCAGTCCTAATAATGCTTTTAATCGTAAGCAAGATTTACTAACATCTTGTCCGACCCGAGAATTGAACCCAAAACTCCTTGCTCGATAGTCGGACGCATGGTCGCCTTTGCCAAGACAGTCAATTAACAACTGGTTTTCAGTTCTTCAATATCAATATGTAGAATAAAACAATAATAACAAATAATTACATACCTTCAAGCTCTCAGGAGTCTTGGTCTCCAGACCTTCAATGATGGGCAGTAGCCGAGGTTTCCGACTCGACTCGCCAGCCATCGTGATCGCTTCCAGAACCTTCTCGTGTCCATTGGGGATCAAACATATAGCAGCTAGCACCTAGAAATATTAAATAAAAATGATTGAAAAAACTCACACAAATTCACGTCAAATCACATGCATTCACGTCAACTCACATCGATCACGTCAACTCACATCTTGTTACGTCACGTCAAGTCAATTCACATTGATTCAAGTCAACTAATACACGTGAGTTGAAATCACATTCACGTCAACTTACTTACATTAATTCACGATTCACGTCAACTTACATTATTATTAAGTCACTCACATTAATTCATGTCAAGTCAACTCACATTTTTGCACGTTAACTCGTTATTTCACGTCAAGTCGACTCACATGAACTCACATTATACTACCAAAAAAGCTCACCTTTGCAGCTTCAAGAGCGCAGTGTGGTTTCCTGGCGTCCAAACTCCTGGCGAGTACTGGTAGCGCCTCCCGGCACTCGAACATGGTCCGTATACCGACTGTATTGTTGAGAATCGCTGATAGACATCTGATGCATTCATACTGGACCCGGTCGTAGCGGGAGTCACTGTAATTGGAGGGAAATATGGTTGAAAATTGCGTGTTTTTTTTTAGTTTTCTCTGAGTAGGTGAACGCCTACAAATTTCACATAAACCTTGCTTAGAACTAAAGTATTATATATAATAACTATAACTATTAAACTGACAGACATTGCTTAGCCACTGCCGCAATCAAAACGAAGCTCTAATAGTTGCAGAATACGGTCGAGAATTGTGTGATTACTATGCTTTTAAAACTATGGGATATAAAAGTCTTATCATTTGGGATAGCGTGATAAATCTGCTTACCGATAAAATCCACTCCCACTAGCAGCGTGTAAAGACGAAATATTGTAGTAAAAATAGACAATTTACAAAATTACATACATACATAACATCACGCCTTTTATCCCCGAAGGGGTAGGCAGAGGTGTACATTAATGCCACTGTACAATGTAACACCCACTTTTCACTATTTATGTTATGAGTCCCATGTAATAGGGGGTGAGCCTATTGCCATATACCGGGCACAATTCCAGACTCCGTGCTACTACTGGGAATTTTTTGAAAAACCCAGTAATACTTTGCCCGACCCGGGAATCGAACCCGAGACCCCTTGCCCGGCAGTCGCACTTGCGACCACTCGGCCAATGAGGCAGTC